CTTTTCTCATGAGCAGTTAGAGCAGTCTTGTGACTTCTATCAGTGTCCAGCCGAGCACTGGTTAAAGCTTGTAGGAGGAGTTTTCATTCTGCTCTGGGAGGATGCAGGACCCCTGACCTCTGTCTGGACAGTGCTGATTAGCCCTGTGCTGATCGCATGCACTCTCTTAAGAAAAAAACCCCTCTCTAGCAATACACACCAAACTGAGCATGTGCAGAGTGACTCCACACGATATGTCTTATCAGGAGATAAGAGGGGGACACTGGAAGAAGGGGAGGATCAGAGGAGACAGGATCAAACAACATTTTTACACAACGCAGAGGATTAACCCCGTAGGTTCCACAGTGGGTATAACAAGCATGCTTTACTACATATACAGACTGATTTGACTGCTGTGGGTTTAGTAACACTTTAGATCTACTAACTTTATCCAATTATATTTTTAAGGAGACAATAAGGCCTGTTTTTTGAAAAGACCTTATTGTTTTAGTTTCAGGAGCCACATTTTTGGGAAGACAAAAGTTTTCTTTTAAAAGTATGTTGGTGTTTTACAGCCAGGAGGTTGCACTTCAAAAAATAGTTGAGACCTGTTTTGTTTTTTTTACAGAAAATCTGTTTTATTCCCAAGAGTGAGCTATTCACATCCATATCCTGTACTAAGATAGTACAGTAAAAATTATTTATTTTATTCACCAATTCTTGAAAAGAATGATGTATGGCTTAAAAAAAAACACCTTGATGAGCTGGAATCCTATTTCCAAACTCTGTATATTAAAAACTATGATTTCTTAAAAAAGAAAAAAACAAAATACACCAGTTTTCAGAAACTAGAATGACACAGCAGATCACCGGAATGCAGTTGCCGGTTGTCGGCTGCACTTTCCTCACTCTGTTACAGCGTGAGGAAAGTACTGCCGAGAACCGGAAATTGTCAGTGAAGGGATTGGCACCAGTCATCAGGGCACTGTGTGAATGGCTTTGTAGTTTTCTGGGACCTGTCATGTGTCCCAGAAGACTACGGGGAGAGAGGGGGGGAGGACAACTTCCACTTCTGATCACCAGCGGAAGTATGAGCGGGTACCTGTCAAATTTGGGCACCCACTCCCCAAAGGTACCAATCCTTAATGGGGAGCGGGGGACAAAGCCTTAAAGCAGAACTTCCCCTTTTAGGTGGAGCTCTGCTTTAAGGTTTCTTGTCTGTTGCTTGGGAATTCAAAGTTTCAGCTCCCTCCATAAATTTTCTACAGGATTAAGGTCTGGAGACTGGCCGGGCCACTCCAGGACCTTAATGTGATTTTTCTTGAGCCACTCCTTTGTTGCCTTAACAGTATGTTTTGGGTCATTGTCATGCTGGAAGACCCATCCGCGATCCATCATGGATGGGTAACTAGTAACGATCAATTGCGGAGGCAATTATTTGGTATGATAAAGGGTAGATATGTTTATAGTATATAGTCTTAGAAATACAACAGTCCCTTTGAGGGCAAGCATAATGCTGATGAAACAGAGTTTTACACCCCTGCTCTATGCTATAGGCAGTGTCAGAAGATTTTCTATTACACCCATTACGTCTTTATTACCATGTCTGAAGTGTTACAAGTGTCTCATGTCTCTGTGCTACACATATATTTCTCTTTTTTACACACAGTGCACTTCTAACACTTCTGTATTATACACAGTGGCTATTACCTTTCTGCTACATGCAGTTCCTTCTCCTTCTTTAATATGCACAATGCCTCAAATATTCAGTACAAAAAGTATCTAAGGCCCCTACTCCACATAATGCTTATAATATGCATTGCCTCAAGCTTGTGTGTTACATGTAGTGCTTTACACCCTTCTATTGGACTCGGCAAAATTGATTTTGTGCGGATTTACGAAATACACACAAAAAACACAAGCTGCACTTGCAGTGCCATTCCATATTAATGGCATTCCAACCCAGCAAAGCAGGTATGCATTTCTTAGGTTCAACAAATGCGGCAAAACATATTGTTAAAAATATGCATGTAACTCAAAAAGGTGCACGTGATTCTTTGCACTTCTCAGCCTTTTCTCTACTATGCAGCCCTCTATGTACTTCTCAGTCCTCGCTCTACTAATTTGCAGCCTTTTATCTACTTTGCAGCCCACTCTCTTCTTTGCAGCTTACTCACCACTATGTATCCCTTTCTCTACTTCCAGGCTCACTCTCTGCTTACTAGCCTTCTCTCTATTTTATAGTTTTCTCTATTTTGCAGCCCTTTCTCAGCTTCACAGCTCTCTTTTTACTAGTCAGCCTTCGCTCTACTTTTCAGCCTCTCCCTGCTTTGTAGCCCTCTCTCTATTCTGCAGCTTTCTTTCTACTTTGCAGTGTTTTTTGTACTTTGCAGCTAATGGTTAGTACTTATGCCTGGCAGTACTAGGGTCGTTGGTTTGAATCCCAACCACTGCACCACCTGCCTGGAGTTTGCATGTTCTCCCTGTGCCTGCGTGGCTTTCCTCCGGGTATTCCTGTTTCCTCCCACACTCCAAAGACATGCAGCCCCTCTCTTTACCTCTCAGTCTCCTCTCTACACCTCTCAGCCTTCTCTCTACTATGTAGCCTCTCTGTGCCTCTTTATCTTCTCTCTACTATGCAGCCCTCTCTGTACCTCTCAGTCTTCTGTATTCTATACAGCCTCTCTGTACCTCTCAGCCTTCTCTCTACTATGCAGCCTCTCTGTACCTCTCAGCCTTCTCTCTACTATGCAGCCTCTCTGTACCGCTCAGCCTTCTCTCTACTATGCATCTCTCAATGTACCTCTTTGTATTCTCTCTACTATGCAGCCTCCCTGTACCTCTTTGTATTCTCTATACTATGCAGCCCTCTCTGTACCTCTCAGCCTCCTCTCTACTATGCAGCCTCTCTGTACCTCTCAGCCTCTCTCTCTACTATGCAGCCTCTCTGTACCTCTCAGCCTCCTCTCTACCATGCAGCCCACTCTGTACCTCTCAGCCTTCTCTCTACCATGCAGCCCTCCTCCCCCTCCCCCCAAAAAGCCATCAGTCCTCCCTTCTCTCTGCTTTCCAACTCTCTCTCTACTTTGGAGCCTTCCCTCTACTTTCCAGCTCTCTCTCTACTTTGGAGCTTTCTGTCTACTTTCCAGCTCTCTCTCTCTACTTTGGAGCCTTCTCTCTACTTTCCAGCTCTCTCTCTACTTTGGAGCATTCTCTCTACTTTCCATCTCTCTCTACTTTGGAGCCTTCTCTCTACTTTCCAGCTCTCTCTTTACTTTGGAGCCTTCTCTCTACTTTCCAGCTCTCTCTATTCTGGAGCCTTCTCTCTACTTTCCAGCTCTCTCTCCACTTTGGAGCCTTCTCTCTACTTTCCAGCTCTCTCTCTACTTTGGAGCCTTCCCTCTACTTTCCAGCTCTCTCTCTACTTTGGAGCCTTCTCTCTTTACAGCTCTCTTCTACTTTGGAGCCTTCTCTCTACTTTCTCTCTCTACTTTGGAGCCTTCTCTCTACTTTCCAGCTCTCTCTACTTTGGAGCTTTCTCTCTACTTTCCAGCTCTCCACTTTGGAGCCTTCTTTCTACTTTCCAGCTCTCTCTCTACTTTGGAGCTTTCTCTCTACTTTCCAGCTCTCTCTCTCTACTTTGGAGCCTTCTCTCTACTCCCCAGCTCTCTCTCTACTTTGGAGCATTCTCTCTACTTTCCAGCTCTCTCTACTTTGGAGTCTTCTCTCTACTTTCCAGATCTCTCTACTTTGGAGCCTTCTCTCTACTTCCCAGCTCTCTCTCTCTACTTTGGAGCCTTCTCTCTACTTCCCAGCTCTCTCTCTACTTTGAAGCATTCTCTCTACTTTCCAGCTCTTTCTACTTTGGAGCCTTCTCTTTACTTTCCAGCCCTCTCTCTACTTTGGAGCCTTTTCTCTCTTTTCCCCAGCTCTCTCCCTACTTTTGAGCCTTCAATCTACTTTCCAGCTCTCTACTTTGGAGCATTCTCTCTACTTTGGAGCATTCTCTCTACTTTGGAGCATTTCTCTCTAGCATTCTTTCTACTTTCCAGCTCTCTCTACTTTGGAGCATTCTCTCTACTTTCCAGCTCTCTCTACTTTGGAGCCTTCTCTCTACTTCCCAGCTCTCTCTCTACTTTGCAGCCTTTTCTCTACTTCCCAGACATCTCTGTACTATGCAACCCTCTCTGTACTTCTCAGACTTCTCTGTATATGGTATCCTCTGCTTCCCAGCTCCCTTTGTACTTTGATACTCTCTGCAGTCCTCTCTACTTCCTAGCCTTCTCTCTACTGTGCAACCCTCACTTTGCCTTCTGTCTGCTATGCAGCCCTCTCTTTTTTTCTCAATTTCTCTCAGTTCCCCTGTCTTCTCTCTACCATGCAACCCTTTCTCTCCTTTGCAGCCTAATAAGCCCTCTCTTTATCTTCTCTCTACCTTTAGGATTTAAACAGAATTTGTGTGTGCCTATTCTAGAACTTTTGCATGGTGACTTCTCTCCAGCAGATAGACTACTATCCCCTGTCATTTTTTTAGCTGATTACCTCATCAATTACTTTATAGAAACTTCCTAGGAAATGCAATTTAGTGGATCTGCAGTTAGTGTAATGTATATATACAGAGAGCTGTCATCATTCAGTGGCGTGGCCATCTCTGATGCACTTCTTGACAAGTGTGCTGTAGAGTGTAGTAGAACATGCTGAGCTGGGGAAGGAAGCAGGCGGTATAGTAAGGGGGTGTGGAGTCACAGAGGGGTGCACACGTAATACGTGGGCGTGACGATCTCAGGGGGGCGCGGCTGCATTTCATTCATTTGCCACATTTATCCAAAGGAGAGGAGAACGCTGCGAGAGAGAAGCCGGCTCTACTGTCCGGAGAACAGATATTCCTGGGCTCGGCTCCTTTACAGCACACCTTCCCTTCTACAGCCTGTACACAACACATTGTCCTACCTTCTCCTGTACAGCCGGCACACCTTCCCTTCTCCTGTACAGCCGGCACACAGCACATTGCCCTACCCGGGATGGAGAAGCAGTCTGAGAGCGCTTCGTGTACCGGGCTTCTGGGGGAGAAAGACCAACCCAAGATCCAAGGAGAGGTATGTATGTCTACTACATCCAGCTGCACCACCCATCCTCCTCGCTACATTCCCCTGCCACTGTCTATTTATTATGTGTGCATGTGTATTTATACATTTTTTGAAGAAAAGCAGGACAAATAAAGTCTGTTTAATAAATATTATTCATTTTTACTGTTATTTGCAATGTTTTTCCTACTTTTTCATTAGGATTGTTGTGTGTATGTGTGTGTGTGTGTGTGTGTGTGTGTGTGTGTATATATATATATATCTCACTATCTCACAAGAATCCTAATGAAAAAGTAGGAAAAACATTAACACATAGAACAGTAAAAATTAATGAAAAAGTAGGAAAAACAATACATAGAACAGTAAAAATGTATAAATAAATTAATAGTAAAGAAATATTGTGTATATATGTGTGTGTGTGTGTGTATTTTTTATATTACTTTATGTGTATATATTTTTTATTATTTATACATTTTTACTGTTCTATGTATTGTTTTTCCTACTTTTTCATTAGGATTGTGTGTGTGTGTGTGTGTGTGTGTGTGTGTATATATTTATTATTATTATTATTATTTAAAAAAATTAAATGTATATATTTTTTATTATCTATTTTTTTGTGGTAGCAAAGCGGATCATAGCTTGACATTCTCTGCCCGAATAGTTGTGTGTTCCTATATAATGTGTATATACTCAAGCCCTAAGCTGCCCACACATTCCACAATTTTCCTTGTTCAGTTTCCTTTAGATTTATCTTCAACCATGTAGTGCAAGGGCCTGTTTGGATATAAATTGAAAGTGTTTAGGTTTGCCCTTGTTATATGGGTTTTGGTAAATCTAAAGGAAAATTGTCTTGTGTATTTGTAATACTATATATGATCTAGCACAAAAGCAACACACATGCAGTGGTAATGCTATGCTTTCTATACCTCTAATATCTCTATAAATGATTTGTTTATGGTGAAGGTACACTGAGAGCTGTTTTCGACTTTAAACCAAGGAGCGGTACCTTGTACGCCTGTACATACTTGGCCCATAAAGCTGAGTCTGATAGAGGTGGATCGGTATCTGATCAGGAAAGCCAGGTTCCCTATGTGGTGTGCTGTGGTTGTGTAGAATGACATGTACGTTGGTGTGCCACTCCCCAAGGCCCTCACACTACATAGAAGTAGCCGGCTGGATGAGCGACATGATGCCCTGAATGTGATGTCATGATATCAGGAGACATTTGGGTCTCCAGGGTTGGGTATTCCCTCTATCACCATGAGGAATTTCAATGTACAAGCTCAGCCCATGTGACTGGGGACAGGAGAGTGGCTGTGTCCTTCCTCTGTCCTGTGTCATTGAAGTTCTTTCCTATGGCTCGCAGCGTGCTCATATCGCGGCCACCGTGTACTTTCCAGTGATGAGGCTTCCTAGAGATCGCTGATCACAAAGCTTAACAGGATATACACGTCATACGTAATAGAAATCCCACATAGATGTGTGTAGAAAAACCTGCAGACAAGGACGTGTTGACTTTTGTGCAGGTTAAACTCATGGAACTCAGTTCTTCTAGATTCCTTCACATGACCTGGTTCTGGAATGAGGGGCAGTCTGTAATAGAAATGGTCCCAGGTTTGGGGAACATGACCCTGCATTCCTTTCCATTGTTCATTATCTGCGTATAGTAGAGTACTAATACTGTATTATAGCACATGTATCAACGTTCAGTTTGGCTAATTTCCCAGACTGTTACTACGGCAACCACATTCAGGATTTGTCCAGGATTGAATAATCTTGCTCTCTCTTTCAGGAGAGGGACCATTGCTTAGTCTACTGACTAGCCTGAGCACAGATCTTATATATTGATCATTATATAGGATTTCTAAAGTCCAGCAGTTTGAGTTCCTTTACACTTGTTTGAGGGGCGGTAAAAGCAGGGGGTTGAGTTGTGTTTTTTACCACCCACACCCTTCACCTGCAAAGGCAGCCGGACAGGCCATGGTCACAATTCTTCAGTTTGTGGCTGTGGCAAAAAAATCTATCCCATCTTGTTCAGTGGGCAATACCTCCACTGAACCCTTCCCATTCAGGCGAATAGTGCTGCTGCACAATTGTGTGCATTGCACAGTATGTGGCACAGTAGGTTGGCATGTTGAGGAGCTGTGATATTGTCAAATGTCTCTGAAAAGCAATCAACCATGGATCACTTTTCAGAAGAGCAGCTAGTTTTTGTTTTTTTTTCTTCTGCTGTAGACCCAGCCTTAGTGCAGTGCTTTAATGAAGGGAGACTACAGATTATAATTATTATACAGAATTTATATAGCGCCAACAGTTTGCACAGCGCTTTACAAAATGAAGGTAGACATTAGTTACAATGCAATTTGGTACAAGAGGAAACAGAGGGCCCTACTCATTAGATGAAATATGTGTGTAATAATAATAATATATATATATAATATATTCCAACAAATCTGTATCAAAAAGTATTCTTCCTTCTAGCCAAGGGTGTGTCTGATGATACTGACAGATAATCAGTCAGACAGGTGCTCGTGAGCGAACACCTTGTATATAGAACACTTTCATTTTTATTTGACTTATAGTAAACGTTTGGAGATTTCTTGTATAACAAACCTGCATTCCAAAGTATGTTAATTATGTCCTGATTTTTATTTAACCTATTCTGATCTTTAGAAGGTATCCTATGTAAGGAACCTTCATTCAGTTAAAAGGGTGTGTGCTGGTCCCTGCACATAGGTGCTTGTAAGCATACTTTTTTTTTTTTTTTTTTTTTTTTTTTTTTTTGCAGCACTTTGATTTTTATTTAACCCATAGTCCACTTTTGGAGAGATCACATACAACAAACTTCCTTTAAAAGTATGTTGTATGTCCTGATTTTTGTTTAACTTATTCTGATCTTTTGATGCATCATACACAAAGAATTTGCATTCCTTCAGAAGTAGATTGCATGTTCTGACCTTGAATCTAAAGCTAGCCATACAGTGTCCTCCAGGCTGAACAGAAAAAACTTTTTTTTTTTTTTCTTTTTTTTTTTGCAGCACTTTGATTTTTATTTAACCCATAGTCCCCACTTTTGGAGAGATCACATACACAAACTTCCTTTAAAAATATGTTGTATGTCCTGATTTTTGTTTAACTTATTCCTGATCTTTTGATGCATTCATACACAAAGAATTTGCATTTCCTTCAGAAGTAGATTGCATGTTTCTGACCTTGAATCTAAAGCTAGCCATACAGTGTCCTCCAGGAACAGGTTCCTTAATCCACACAATTTCAGTTCAGATGAAAGGATCTCCCACTGCAGCTACTGTTTTGGACAGCCGGCTGTCAAAATACCTGAACAGTGGCTTCATCTGATAGGATGCAGCCACTATTCAGCTGAAAATGTCCAGCAGGCTCCTTCAACAAAAGTTGATCAAATTGGCTGAGCTTTGCACAGTGTACAGCCAGCCTTTTTCATTTCTAATCCAGAGGAAATTACACAATTATGTTGTAAGTTTTTTTCACAGTACTGGTCAGGGGCAGACTGACAACTCATGGGGCCCCCGGGGATTATGGGGCCCCCGTGTCCTCGCCCACACCCAAAAAAGCCTATGAAAAAGCCAATGAAAGGTACCAGGGGCATCTCATGGGGCCCCCTACTGACCCTGGGCCCTCAGGCAGTGCCAGAGTGGCTAAATGGTCAGTCCGCCCCTGGTACTGGTAAAAACATCGAAATCCAGAAACCTGAAGTGAGATAACTCTGGGGGCTGTCATTGCTGACCTGCTTTGGCTGTCTTGGGCTTTAATACTTCGAGTCAATAACCTGCAGCAGCCTGAAATTCAGACTGAAGTCTGAATTCCTTATCTGTATATTTGTTCCAGGCAGTAATTAAACGTCCTGAAGCCTTTGGAACATCATGATGGCCAGACAACCAGAATTTTCAGAAGCAGAGGTCAGCAGTGGTAGCCTTTATACTCTACCAGTACAGGTTTCTTTTGAAGCCCAACGTTAGCCACACCATTTTGGTTTTGGACAGAGCAGGCGAGGGTTAGAGCAGTGGTTGTCAAGTTATGAGCTATAGGGGGCTTCAATTGCAGCCCCTGTCATCACCAAAGGGCCGCACATGATGTTCAAGATATGTAACGCTTGAGAGGACTGTCAGACTGTAGACCTCATAGGAAATGATGGTCAGAAAGTGTGGACATGCTACATTTTTGGCTGGAGATATGCTGCAGAAGACGATAGGAAACCAGGAACGTGTTACATGAGGCTAGTAGAGATCAATGCTCTGACCTTAATCAATGTTCCCATTACAGACTGCTGAGGTCCAAAGGCCGCACCTCCTATACCAAAGGGCCGCATGTGGCCCTCGGGCCACAGGTTGGGCACCAGGGTTTAGAGCCTCTGGGAAGCTTTTATTGCTGCCTGTGTATCTTTTGGGAAATGTTTTCTTTATTTCCCGTCAGGACAGGAAGCAAGAGGAAATCTCTTCCAACAAGAGCCAGACCATTATATTTTTGCTTAGCAGAGTGGAAGAGGATTAGAACTCCTGACAATGCTTTTATTGCTGTCTGTTCCTTCCTTTTATCATTGACAACTGCATTCTCTGTTCCTTGCCCTGGTCTCACAGGGACAGTAAAGCTGCCCTATTCAACTTTTGGTCTGTTCCGGATCAATTGGATGAAATTTGCCTTGTGGGCGGCCCAGTCAGACTACTCACACCCAACATCCTAGGATTGAAAAGTCAAAGCCAGGTGAAAATTTGTCAGCCAGACAGTGACTGCATACAGTCAGATAAAGACACTGAGCATTTTGACAGTCGCTGCCAGGTGACAGCTGTCAAAAGTTAATAGCCCAACAGGAGGGGTCTGTCCACCTGTGCTTTGTGTGGATGGAGGATTCTGTTTTAACAGTGCACAAGTCAGTGAGGGAAAAAAATACTATTAGCAGCTCCATCCAAAACTGAAAAAAAAAAACTGGTTGGAGTCTGGCTTTAAGAACTGTCTTGGCTGTCCTACTATGTATTCTGTTGGCCTATTTATGCTTTTATTTAGTTCAAGGTGAGACTTTCCTTGTAACGCCCTGAGTACAAATCTGTCCGTCAAGGTAATTGGAGTGCAATCCTCTCTCCTGTATTATATCTAAAATAATTTATAGTGGCAATAAAGAGTAGCTGAAAGGAAAATTCATTCATTCATTCCTGCTCTAGCATTTTATTAAGGAAATGATTGGGAATCTGGTTGCTGTAGGTGAAAGGTATTTTCAAGCTGACTTTTATATGAGGCTGGTTATAAATTTGAAAAAATAAAACCGCATTTCCTGTTTGTCTAACTTGAAATCCGTGCTAATCAGCGGGTAACAAGAAATTCCCACCAGGAATACAGGAATTAAAAATATGCAGTTGGCTTTTTTTTCTGTATATGCTTTGATGGTATTGCATGAATTCCATTTATATAAAAGGGGGGGAAACCACAACATGATATTTTGGGTAGGTCTAATGTATGCTTTGTCTACAAACAGCAGGACTAGGGTGCACCTAAGCAAACAGTTGATTGGTTGTTTTCCTATTATAATATGGTGGGAAAGCACATTTATTGTTTACCAAGGTAGATTGAATTTCTGTTGTGACTTCCTGCCACCTGGGCAGTTACAGAAAATTTGACAATTGCTGTCCCTTCCTCTTCTATGTAAGCCAGAAATAGTCATTGTTCCTATATTACTGCCGCATACTTGTACTGGCCTGGGGGCTCATTCACATTAGTGCCAACCTGTGCTGCCACAATGCATGGCAGTGCACCTACATTGTAATGAAAAGAATGCACCTACTTTATGTGCAGGGCGTTGTGGTAGAGTACAATACACTGTAGCAAACCAAACTACACTGCCTTTTTTTCTCCTTTTTTTTTTTTTTTTTTTTTTTCTCCCTTTTTTTTCTCTTTTTTTTTTTTTTTTTTTTTTTCTTTTTTTCGCCTTTTTTTTTTTTTTTTCCTTTTTTCATCAGTTGTGCATTGGCAGCCTATTCATAGTAAATAGGCTTCCTTAATGCAATGCATGTGCATTAACAAGTGTGAATGGGCCCTTAAGGTTTTCTGCACTGGTTGTTTGCTATTTAGAGGGCAGGATGGAGCTATTTTTACCAATGTTTTGCTAATTGAAGTCCAATGTATGGCTACCCTTGGTAGGATAGGTTAATAAAGTTACTCAGGTCAATAGAGTACAGGTGCGGCCTCAGCTTGCCGTTTGGTGCTCGGTTATTTCAAGCCACTCTATAATCTGCTCTTGGCATACGAAGTTCACCTTGGCACAGTGGCTGGAAGGGTATTAATATTTCCATTCTTGTGACTTTCATGTTTGGTTTCCACCACTACAATCATTATGGCTGTGTATTGCAGGACATGATGTGCACAAAGTACTCAAAACATTTGTGGATTTGTTCTTTTCAGAGGCAACGAGGGAAACATAAACTGTCTGTGTACAGTAAGATATGTTTTGCCATTGGTGGAGCTCCATATCAGATCACCGGATGTGCCCTAGGATTCTTCCTGCAGATGTACCTCCTTGATGTAGTACAGGTAAATGGTGCCCTCACTTGCTATGGCGTATATATAAAGATTCTTATAAACTACCCCGCAAGAAATTATATTTACATAAATATAAAGGGGGAAATTTACTAACACTGGAGAGTGCAAAATCTGGTGCAGCTCTGCATTGAAACCAATCAGCTTCCAGGTTTTATTGACAAAGCCTAATTGAACAAACTGAAGTTAAAAACTAATTGGCTACCATGGTTACCATGCACAGATGCACCAGATTCTGACCGCTCTGGTTTTAGTAAATCAATCTCAAAGAGTACTTATTTAGTTGTATTATTCCATATGGTTTTAAAGTAAGTAATGACCAAAAAACAACCTCTTGGTTTTCCTGCAGTTGCCTCCCTTTAAGGCTTCCATTATCCTCTTCACTGGAAGGGTGTGGGATGCTATCACCGACCCTTTGGTTGGGTTTTTTGTCAGTAAGAGCACATGGACGCCGTTTGGCCGACTGCTGCCATGGTAAGTTCAAGAAAATGATATGAAAAACTTTACATATAAGAATTGAGATCAGTATTGAAGAGTTTTCTTGGTAGTGGTGGGGAAAAGTAAGGGGTCCATACCTATGTTTGAAAACATGTAATTTGATCTGCATAGATCAAGGCACGGGCATGTGGAAAACCATAACACTGTGTTGAGGTGCATTTTATGTAACGCACTACGGCATGTTGCAGCACTCTGCATTACATATTTTTGACAGTAAAATAAGAAAAAAAAAGGGGTGGGGGTGATGTGGGAGTAAACCAAGCAGTGTGTTCTAACAGCACATTGCTCCACCCCTCGCTGCCCCTACACAGCATGCACATGCTTTAGTTCGCAAGCAGGTGTGAATGCGCCCTTAAAGTAACTCCTTGCTCCACTGTTGTCAAAGTGTCACAACGCAATTTATACATTAACACAATTGGACTGTGTAACCAGGAAAACCATTTGCTCTGCAGCTTTGGCCCATGTGATCCTGTCTGTATAGTAACACTACTGGGCTTGTTCAAAGAGCAAGGTGCCAGGTGCGGTAACCAATAAGACCGGGTCATTTGGGGGTGGGTGATAGCATGAAAACCCACAGCTTTTGCCCATGTGATCATGTCTGGACAGTAATGTTACTGGGCTTGGTGCCGAGGGCAGTAACCAATTAGGGTCATTTGGGGGTAGGTGATGGCATGAAAACCCACAGCTTTGCCCATGTGATCCTGTCTGTATAATAACGCTACTGGGCTTGTTCAAAGAGCAAGGTGCCAAGGGCGGTATCCAATTAGGGTAATTTGGGGGTGGGTGATGGCATGAAAACCCACAGCTTTGTCCCATGTGATCCTCTCTGGACAGTAACACTACTGGACTGGTTCAAAGAGCAAGGTACCAGGCATAACCAATAGCAACCAATAAGACCGGGTCATTTGGGGGTGGGTGATGGCATGAAAACCCACAGCTTTGGTCCATGTGATCCTGTCTGGACAGTAAATACAGCATTTATTTTATATATAGATATAGAGATATAGATATAAAATGTTTTGTTGCGGAAGGCTGGGTGTAGAGTAGGGTAACGTATAGAGGCTCAGTGTAGTTTGTAGAGCGGAATATGGATTCTATTAGAAGTGATAAGGCGAGTGTATGAAGTCCTGAGCTATTAGTGACCTGTGTGTTATCAGTAAATGGAGATTATTTCAGGACAAGGGCATTGGCTGTATGTGTACACATCAATATGCATTTTACAGACTGTTTGACTTGTAGGTTACATGTGCCTCTGTGTATTGCAAAGTATGCCTAAAAATAGCAGAATTGGATTTCCTATAGTATCAAAGGTAATGAGCGTATATGGGGGGGTTAAGAGGGCTGCACCGCATTCCTTTTATTATAAAGTCGAAGAAATAATTAGGTACTTCTGCGCCCCCCCCAAAAAAATAGTTTAGCCACCATTGATAAATGTATTTTGCTATGCTTCACAGACTTGGGCACTTGGTTCCATTCAGTGCTCAAAGGGTTAACCACTTGGCCATGGACGTGGTGCTTCTGCGCTCTAGTTCCTGTCTGACGTGTCCCTCGCCTGATCCATACAAAGGCATGCCTCACGAATGAGTTAACGTATAAAAAAAGGAAGAGGAAGGCGGGAGTGTTTCTAAAGCACAACACACCACCTATTTCAGCCAATCAAAGAGCTGGGTGTGTACAGCTGCCTTCAGGAAGCCAATCACCTAGGTGGGAGTGTTAAGTCATTGACTGACAGTTGTATTTGGGGTTACTAAAGGGCATAGCTATAGCAAAGGTAGTGGAAGCCATTAATGAACACAGCAGATGACTGTTACACTGAGTAACAAAGCACAAATACGGGGCTCACATAAACCTGTCTATATATTTCACACTGGAATATTTGCTTCGTTATACACTGATCACTGATCTGGGTACCTTCACAAATATTAACGTAAAATACCGTATGATGCAATCAGCTGGGGGTAATGAAAATGTATATTTATATATACCGTATATATCATACGAAAATACCATATGATGCGATCAGCTGGGGGTAATGTTATATTTTTAATACTGTAGTTTGACATCTGAAACAATAGATGAAGTCATATAAATGACAGTAAAACATACAGTACAATGTTGTGCTATATGTATTCTGTTTATTTTTTTTTTAGAAATTCTGGTATCAAAAGAGAACTGGACAAAGAAAATGCATTTATTTGAAATTATTTAATATTTTGGTTTGCCATCTGAAAAAATGGATGCCGTCATAAAAATGACAATTTAACATACAGAAAAACATCTATGTGCTATAAGCATCCTGTTTTTTATTTATAATTTTTTTTGTGATAGAAATTCTGATATCAAAAGGGAACTGGATCATGAAAATGTGTGGTGTATTGATTTTTTTTTTTTTTTTTTTTTTTGGGCTTTTTTGTGTGACTTACATTTTGATATCAAAAAAGGAACAGGACAATGAACATTTATTTCAGGTACTTTATATAGCGATGTCAATTTACGCAGCGCTTTTACATATATATTGTACATTCACATCAGTCCCTGACCCTCAAGGGGCTTACAATCTAAGGTCCCTAACTTACATTCATACATACACATACTAGGGCCAATTTAGACAGGATCCAATTAACCTACCAGCATGTCTTTGGAGTGTGGGAGGAAACCGGAGTACCCGGAGGAAACCCACGCAGGCACAGGGAGAACATGCACACTCAAGGCAGGTGGTGCTGTGGTTGGGATTCGAACCATCGACCCTAGTACTGCCAGATGGAAGTGCTAACCATTTAGCCACTGTGCAGACCATGCATTTTTATTTAGTACTGTAGTTTGTCATCTGAAGCAACGGATGCAGTCATAAAAATGACTGCAGCATACAGAAATACATCTATACTATAGGCATCCTGTTTTAATTTTTATTTTATTTATTTTTTTAAGATAGAAATTCCAATATCAAAAGGGAACTGGATCATGAAAATGTATTTCTTTAATTAAATGTATTTAATACTGTCGTTTATCTCGTAACCATGGACGCAGTAAAAATGGAATCCTACAGAAAAATGTCAGTGCTGTATGCATCTCATTTTTATTTAATTCTTCTTTTTTGGGTAACAAATTCTGATCGGAAAAGAGAAACTGGTCCTTTTCGTTATAAATAAAGTCAGATTCCAGTTAAATGTCACGTGCTTTAATCAGAATAGGGAAATGGCAAGCTTTTATTTCAGTGTGTCTAGAGGACAATCTCTTATGTTGACAGGTGGTCTCTAAGGAGAAGTAAGAGGCAATTTCTCCAGCAGTAAAAAAAAAGTCTTTTTAGGAGAGTGAGGGGTTAAAACTTTCATACTACTATCATTCTGTCTCTCTTGGGAAAATAATCCTCAATCTGTCCTAACAGCAAGATTACTGCTGTCTGTATTCCCACTGGTGAAAATCCTTCACATTTTTTGTCTTATTAATCACCTGCTGCAAGATGTAACTTATCCCTACTTTATCCAAAATGGAGAAAATCAGTACCGCTTTGAAATGCCCCTGTTATCGCTTGCATGTACAGTATACAGTATGGTACATCCCACAGTTGGCTCATGTCAGGAGAGTTTTCTGTTGGGAGTGATGCATAGCAATATGGCTAAAGAAACCATAAAAAAAAATTAAACAAAAATTGTGTGATATGATTTGTTCACTTTGCAGTTGCTGGTGCAGTACGTGATGGAATCATTTTATAGTTTGTTTGATGTGTGTTTGTGTGTTCTCTTTTTTTTTTTCTCTATAGAATATAAGCATGAGAGAGGGTGCATTATAATGTGTGTTTTAGAGGCTGTAGCAAACTAATTTGTCCTTTTTGTAAATTATTTTGTCACGCATTGTGAGATTGTTGCAGTCTATATAACAAGGACTAATGACATGAAAGCCATAGCAAGTACACAACATGATCTATTTTAAACTCTGATGAAAAAAATGTATGGAATTTAGAACTTTGGGCATTTTTCTACTATTGTTATGAGGCTCTTACTTTCACTGATGTGAAGCACCATTCCTTCCACTGACACCAACAATGAGACACCAACAATATTATTATTATTATACAGTATTTATAAAGCGCCAATAGTTCGCTCAGCGCTGTACATTACAAAGGGGGACAGAACAAGTGACAGAACAATACCAATACAATGCAAAACATGAGGGGATTGAGGGCCCTGCTCTTTCGAGCTTACAATCTAGGAGATAGGGCACTATTCCTCCCACTGACACCTCTGATGGGGCTCAATTCCTCCACTGACGCCTATGATGGGGCACTCATCCTCCTCAAACTTACCGCCAAGTCTGAGACATTGTCTACTCCTACTGACAGTGGGATTTTTTTTTACTCTCACTGGATACTCTGACCCTCCTAAGGTCTGAGGAACGGAAATTTGGCCCTTTTTTTTACATTTGGAGATGCTTTTGAATTTTTCTGTGCTGTAAGGACAGTGTGGAAGTATTGAGAGCACTGAACACTACATTTTCGCAATGTGAAGCTTTGATATGAAGGTAACTTGTGTTGTAGTTCGAGGACACGCATAGCTAGAGACCCACATTCAGCACTTTTCTTGACATCCTGTAACGAGTGGATATCTCCGTTTAAGAAAAATCTATTTGGAGCAGAAAAATAAAGTTAGTGGGATCACTCACCTGCTTGTTACATTTCCCAGCAGCAAAGTCTTTCCAAATGAATTCCTGGTCTGATCCTCCCAGCAGGATGGTTGAATGGGGTTCAGGATAGATTTACCACCAGTGCAGAGATCTTGTTTGGAAGTTCTCAGCAATCGGAACCAATGTCTTCTTTCACAAAACTAAAAACATGTCACCAAACGTATTTATTCCTATTAAAAATGCACCACAGCAGAGGTGCTTGGTTCACTAACTAAATGAAACTCCAAACTTTTGTCTATAGAAGTATGTTTCTGATAATTAGTTTCTCATTCTTTCTTTATATTTTCCCCTTTTTGCATGCAGGATAATCCTGTCCACACCCTTTGCTGTCATCTGTTATTTCCTCATCTGGTTTGTGCCTGACATCTCCACTGGTCAGCTGGTGTGGTACCTAACCTTCTACTGCCTTTTCCAGACCCTTGTGACGGTGAGGACTGGGACAGGGCATGGTGTTAGCCTATGATCATGTCAGGTTAATGGGGTAGAGAGACTGTCCATCTTTCCCTCTAACTTGTTATTTCTGTTCTGCAGTGTTTTCCATGTCCCTTATTCAGCTCTTACAATGTTCATCAGCAAAGAGCAAAGTGACCGTGACTCTGCTACAGGATACCGTAAGTATTTTCCTATACTACCTTTTATATGAGAAGATTCAGATGAAAAGTTTTTTGACTACATATGTTTTATGAAATGGGTCCTGGTGTTTTTCCCTGTATCATACATAGCTTTTTATTCTTCCTGTGTAATTGTGGTTGTTGCATGACAGAGTGGCCACAGACATGCAAGAATCAAGTTGAGGACAAGGGGCATAACTAGTGGTCAATGTAAGCTATATTTAAACTAGCAGACACAGAGATTTGATCTGAAAAGAAATGAGGCCAGTAAGCTTCGAAAGCAAGTTGCTTTTATATTAAGGTGAGGCCACCGTCACAGATGTATGCAAAGACCTTTTTTACCATGTGTCCCCTTTTAATGTGCCGATGAATGCAATGTGTTCTAGTAGGGAAAACAGCTTGCAGTGTAGCTGGGTTACTGATATCTTCTGTGTTTAGGAAAATGGAATGACCCCGGATGAAAAAGTATGCTTTATTTAATACTTGTATCCACCACCAATAATGCTCTTCCCACTCACTTGTGTGTGCAGAGGGTGTTGGATAAAAGTGCTTGCTCATTTGAATGGGGAATGTATATCTTCTGAGTATATGTAGCATGGCCATATGTGGAATTTTGTGATGAAGAACACAAACATTTTAAAGCTGAATTCTAATTATGGCAATTTTTTGAATAGTTCTACTGGTCCAGCTTGGACCAATGTAAGCATGTATGTGCCCTATCTGTGAGATCTCTGTGGCAGCTAGAAATCACTGTAGTAGGCACGATTATTACAGTGATCTCCCCGAGCTTCCGGGTCCCATGGCAAACGGCTGCCCTGCTGATTTGGTCAAACAGGAGGTAGCTTGCTTGGCATGGGCACCATTCAAGGACCACTCTACTTTCTTAATGAATGTAAGGGTTATCTGATTGGATGAGGTATTTAATTTTTTAATTAGTAGGTTTTTTGTTTGTTTTGTGTTTTTGTGTTTTTTGTTTGTTTTTTTTGCTTCTTAAAGTGTTACTTTCTAATTTCTTTGCATTCTGTTCTTACAGGTATGACTGTGGAGGTCCTGGGAACTGTACTTGGCACAGCAATTCAAGGACAGATTGTGGGTAACGCGGATACCTGTGTGCCTAACTCCCTTCAGGCTTCACCTTTCAATACTTCTGTGGCTTCGGTAGAGGAATCCATGGCTCCAGAAAACTCTGTGTCTATTGCTAACACAGTGAGTTACATTCTTATAACCAGAGCTGTATTTCATGTAAAGTCTTCATACTAGCAAGCAAATGCATTTACCCAAAAATGGTTGTACAATCTCCTTCAGATTTACCAAGGATTAGTACAGGGGCCTACTTGAAGCCTACGTTTTTCTAAAACTAAAAACAAAAGAATCAGCACAAGGGAGACATAACTTAGTATGATGTCCCTTGTCATGATTCTTCTTCTGCTTTCAGTGTCTTACACATCTTTTGTTGTCCCCCCATTGTACCCCTTATATTTCTTTTTGTTTTTTGTTTGTTTTTTTTTTTTAGTTTTAGCTAAACTTGGGCTTTAAACAATCTGTTTAATTTTATATCCAATCAAATAGACCCTCATGCTATTTTAGTTTTTCGTAAATCTGCAATGAGACTAGCCACATATTACAATCTGTGTAGCTTTTGTGTTATTACTTCTGTTATAACTTCTGTACTATTATTGATTGAGGATATGTAATTGGCACTATGCAGAGATGATAGTCATTGATGTATTGTTTTGTCATGAATGCTTCTTCCAGTGCCTTCTACTACAGAACTTTCGTTTACAAGGTGACCTGAAACATGGGCTGAGGCCTAAACTGGGCCTGTGGTGATTCATTTTTCCATGTAGAGAACGGGCCACAACCTATGTCTCCCACCTATCCACAGTATTTCACTTTCTATTGTCCGTCCTCGTAGCCTGTATATTAACAAAGACCGTACAGGACACTGCTTATAATTTTTTTTTTTTTTTTTTTATAAACTAGCCGTATCGTTAAGTATTGATACCTGACTGATTTGATTGCCATGGACAGCTAAATATCTGTGTATAAAAACTCCCAAATTTTATAGTATGCATGCTCAAAATGTTGGCAGGCTTATCACTGCTGAATTATGGCTCCAGTGTTAGGAAATCCTAAGTTCTCTGCAGGCATCATGAGCTGGCAGCCTGCACCTCTTCCAACCTCTAACAAATTTAGACTAAAACATTTTTGGTGTACAGCCAGCTTAAACTCCCTGCAAGATTTGCAACACATGACCTCTTCGCCACTGCTTTTTTTTTTTTTTTTTTTTTTTTTTTTTTTTTTTTTTTTTTTTCCTTTTGGCAAGCAATACAACTACTCAGTTTTCTCCAACTCTTCAGGGGTTCTACCACTTTGCAACAACTCTGTAGTTTTGAAGGAATCTGCGCAGAGGGTGCCCACCTTGAAAATGTGTATAAAGCACACGCCATGTTGGTTAATCCATCTAATCTTGCATGCCCCCCTCATACCAGCTTAAATGTGTGAAAGATCTCAAACCCAGTTTTTTTCTCAAAGAGAATGTGTCCTATTTCTTCACTCATAAATGGCGATTTCTAGTTTCCTCAAAGAAAGAGGGGACAAAATACTCCTAGGTGGTACAACAACCGTTCCAGACTTCCTTTAAAATATTCCAATGGTACTCTCCCCTCTGCTCTAGATGTGGCTGACAAGGTTAATGCTCCACATGATTTAGAGTTGTCTGCATGAAACAATGGAGCTTCACGTGATCTAGAGCTGTCTATATGAAACAATCAAACCCACCTCTACTAATGCTGTGTTTTTCAAATAATATTAATTACTGCCTGGAAGATCTCACTTCTTCACTCAAACATAATGAAGAACACTGCAAAATGTATTTCACATTCCCTCAAGAATACTGAACTCTATCAGAATCTGTCAGACAGAGAAGGCTACATGCACAACCAGGTGGGGGCTGCTATCTGTGGACCACACTCTTCTCTAGTTCTTTCTCCCTCTCCTCTCCATCCTCCCACCCACCTATCCTTTTTTATTCCCCCTCTTCCCCTACCTTGCCCTCCTTCTCCCTTTTTTAATTCCCTACCTTACCTCTGGTGTGTTGGGCTGTTGTTTTTTGTTCCTAATTTTCCATCAACATCCCTACCCCAGTTCTTAATCTGTAGGGCTGACCAATTAGCCCCCTCTCTCATATCCTGCTAGGGGTTAGTCCAGCAACCGGGGACTCTCTGCTCCTGGCCTACAAGTATTCCCATGAAGTAAGACCTACTGTGACCTCTATACCATGTCCCTCTTTTTGGATTTCAAGTGTGTATTTACTATGGGTGCTAGGCATTGGTTCATCCTCATATTTTGTACTGAAGCCTCCTTAACCATGTTTGCAAAAATCGAAATAACAAATGAGTTTAAATCTTATGTAGGAACAACCTTCAATATACTTGTACTAAGCATGAAAGATAATTCACCTTTGCACATATGTGTTTTGCAGAGAGATGCCTACATGATTGCAGCAGGTGTCATATGTGCCATCTATATACTATGCGCTGTCATACTGTCACTTGGTGTACAGGAAAAAAGAGGCAAGTAGACCATGGTCTTCATTTTTTTTCTATTACTAGCTGCAGCTGTTCCTAGTTATTCACCTAACATGTCTTTCTCCATCTTCTACAGATTCCTGTGAACTTCTCTCTGAACAGTCAGTATCCTTTTGGCAGGGCCTGAAACTTGTTATGAGCCACAGACCATACATTAAACTGATCACTGGCTTCCTCTTCACATCATTAGCTTTCATGGTAGGTCAAGAAGGCTTCATACATATGGGGAAAGTTGTACTAAAACTGGAGAATGTAAAATCTGGTGCAGCTGTTCATGGTAGCCAATCGGCTTCTAACTTCAGCTTGTTCACTTAATCTTTGACGATAAAACCTGGAAGCTGATTGGTTTCTATGCAGAGCTGCACCAGATTTTGCACTCTTCCATTTTAGTACATTTTCCCCATATATTTATAAGCAAATACAGAAAACGTACTTCTTCCTTTTTTTTTTTTTTTTTTTTTTTTTTTTTTTGGAGTGTAATTAAATGTATCTAATTCTCTTTTTGTTCTCCTGGCTGTACATCCCTCCTGCATCTATGCATGTTTAAATTATTTGGTTTATTGTATATTAAACATATTCAGTTCAATTTTAAAACGGTTAATAAAAATGTAGGTTGCAGTGTCCCCCCGCAGAAACATTTGATAATTAGCTTTCATTGTTCTTACTATTCTTGCTGGCCTTTACAGATGGCAGCTTTCAGGCAAGTTTAAATTTGCTTTCAATTGCAAAATGAATTATGAATGCAGCCTACTGCCATCAGTTTTTTCTGACCCTGTGAAATGATTGAAAATGTCAGTGAGGGTTGCCTTGATTTTGTTCTGTTTTTGCTAATGAAAGCTGTTGAAATTGTCTCCAGTTGCTCTGTGTGTGTGTGTGTGTGTGTGTGTGTGTGTGTCATTAGTGCTTGAAGGTGGAGTGCTAGTTACTGTTGGCAACTGATTACTTTTTTTTATGTTGTTAAAATACCTAGGTCTGTATGTTACTGTACCCTTTTTTTTTTTTTATATTCCATTTTTAAAGTGTTACTAAACCCAGGCCCCTGCATTCACTATATCTGGTCTCCCAGAGTACACACAACATAAAATGCAATTATTTTAGTAAATATTAACTGCTAAATACCTTTTCTCATCAGCAGCATATATCAGTCTTGTGACTTCTATCAGTGTCCAGCTGAGCACTGGTTAAAGCTTATAGGAGGAATTTTCATTCTGCTCTGACTTCCCTATGAGTCTGCATAACTCCTGACCCTCTGTCTGGACAGTGCTGATTTGGCCATGTGCTGATCACATGCACCCTCCCAAGAAAAAAAACCCTCTAGCCATATACACCAAATTGAGCATGTGCAGAATGACCCCTAGAGCTCTGTACTATCAGCAGATGGATTGGGGACAGTAGAAAGGGAGGATCAGAGCAGTTGGGATCAAACTGCCTTTTTACATAATATGGAGGAACAACCCTGAGCATGTACACCAAACTGAGCATGTGCAGATTGACTCC